CAACTATCCGAAAATGTTATACTTAACGTTAAACTATCGAGGTATTTTTGGATGTTAAACATCCGAAAATTCTTTAATTTGGGATATTCAGCATCCGAAAATAGGAAATTTAATGTTTAACTTTAGGCCTATTTTTGGATGATGAGCATCCGAAAATCCCATCAATTCGGATGTTCAACATCCGAAAAATGATAAAGTGGGCTTTTTAAAAAATTTGCATTATAAAAAATAAAAAACGAACATACATGTAATAAGGGAAACTATTTGGTATATTGATAATAACTCAAAATATAACATATTTAATGTACCCTTAAATCTCCACCCCACAAACTCTCTTTAAATTTTTATTTATTTTTAATATTTTATAGATCATCAATTCAAACCTAATTTGAATTGCCCATCCAATGATCCTACACAAATATATGGGTGAACAATCCACCCCACGTATCAAGAATTTAAAACACAGTGTCACAATCGTGTTAGATGCTTCCATGGCTCTAAGCTCACCTACTTTCTTTCTCTCTAAAGGAAAATGTTTATATAGGGCTGAGGCTTTAAAGAATAAAATTAAATGACATCTCAAAATTTGAAAAAAGAATGGATTTCAAGTTTGAAAATAGTGTATGTTGTAAAGCATTTTTGGACCATCAATTTTTAAGATTTTTAAGTTTTTATAAATCTTCTCGTTAAATTTTATAATTAAAAAGCAAAATATATTTTAAAGCTATCATAAAAAATTTTTAATATTAAAATCACAATTCTCGATACTATTTGAAGGTAAGCTCCACTTTATTTATATAAAGCCTCGGCTCTATACAAAAGGCACCCCTCTCTCGTCTACCTTCAGTTGAAAGAGAGAGAAAATGTCATATTTTTCCGCCTTGTTGCTCTCTCTGCGTATTACGTGGTCTTTGCCCCCCGGCGTACGAAATGGAACTATCACCTGTTCCTTCTCTTTTTATTTTCTCTCTAAAAATTCATCTATATCTTTTCTTTTGTTTCTCTCTCCAAAAAAAAAATACTCGGTCTTTAAAAAATATTAGTAGTCGGACAGGAATTATATGCGAGCATACTATGCACACGGTAAAATCAATTTATATAAATTATTTTAGTTTAAAATTTTGTGAATCACTTTAGGATTACTGGATAATGATTATTTTCAAAATAAAAGATTTAAATTTTGATTTTTGCGATACTTAAATCTAGCTCTTTAAAAATGAGGCGGTTTCAATTTGATATTTGATTTAAGATTTTTTTTTTTTGTTTTATTGAGATTAGTCTATGGGTTGTAGAGATTATATATGCGTTTGAAATCTAAAAAATATTCTTAACATGTCTAACACTAGAGGGAGTATATAGATAGTATATTCCCGGGGGAGTATAAAATCTTTGAATCTGTAATGAAAAGGATTCAGGGTTGAGTCAGGAAACAACCAGATCGATATTTCCTTTAAAAAAGGCATGGGCGGTTTTTTCCACACTCCACGAACTTGGATTATTTGAACTAGCCTCGTCATTTTCTAAATGACAATACAGTCCTTGAATCGCATTGATGATGGTGCTCTTGTTATCATCAGTAAGCTATGTTGGAAGATGCGTTTCAAACGCTGCAAGCCCTCATATTTTTATAATGTAATTATGAAATTTCAGGCTTTAAAAATGACGCACATTAAGTAGTTTATAAATATTTGAAAATTTTGAAAACGAGTCCAAATAATAGTTTGAGAGATACGTTATTTACAAGACATAAAATTGTTTTTTTTTTTTTCATAATCTTCATTAGAGTTTTTTTCTAACTATTTGAGGTCGACTAATCATTTTTTTCAATATTCATATAATTCGATGTTGTGATGATTAATTGAAGATTTTTCCAACCTTAGAATAGCATTTTTCAGTAGATTTATAAGGTGCACCTTACTTCTATAGTAAGGTTGACACATTATGTAAATTTTTCATTGTTTTTAAAGGTATGGTATGAAGACATGGATACATGTATCAATATTATTCTAGTATACAAATGTTTGCCGATCATAAAATATGTTTCTTAGATGGGAAAAGTTTATATAGAGCCGAGGCTCTAAACAATCAAATTTAAGCCTAGCTCAAAAATTTTACTAGAAGAGGTTGTTTTGATGCCCAAATATCTTCAAATTGATCATCTCGACATCAAGATGTATGGACATGAGAAAAAAATGGATTTCAAGTTTTGTAAATAATGTATTTTATAATGCAATTTTGGACTGTCAATTTTCAAGATTTTCAAGTTTTCACAAAAGAATGTATCTCAAGATCAAGCAAGAGAGAGAGGTACTCTTTGAGAAAATAATTTTTCCGTACACAATTATTGTATATATAATGGTAATATAATAGATAGTATCTTGTGGCATGTAATATACATTTTTCTATATTTTTACATTCTTGTCTAAAAAAGGATGAGCAATGCAGTTTCCTATAGTCCCTAAAAAAATTAAAAAATTAACTCTAAAATTTTCACAAAAATTCTCAATTTTTGTTTTTAAAATTTAATTTCTTTCACGATCTCTAGATTGCTAATACCTTAAAACTTAATTTTAAAATCCATCTCAAATCTAAAAGGTGCGGTTTTTATAGAGCCGAGGCTCTAAACAATCAAAGTAAAGCCCACTTTTAACTAGTGTTGAGAAATCTTGACCGAAAATCTGTGCGATAGCATTAAAATATATTTTTATATTTAAATATAAAATTTAAAGCTTAAAAAATAGTGTAGATCAAACAGATTTATGAAAACTTGAAAATATTGAAAATTGACAATCTAAAAATGCTTTACAAGATGTACTATTTTCAAAACTTGAAATCTATTTTTTTCTCACGTCTATGTATCTTGATGTCGAGATGATCAATCGGATAATATTTAAACATCAAAATAATATCTTTTAGAAAAATTTTTGATGTGGGCTCTAATTTGATTGTAAAGCTGTGTATAAACTTTTTCAATCTAAAATCCATCTTTGGGTATCTTTGCGATTTAAAATTAGGTGAGGTCATTAGATGCCCCTGACAAGTTTAGTGGTGTCCTGCTCCAACTCCCCACAACTTGCTTTTCTTACTTCTCTACCTCTCTTCCTTCCTTTCACTAACTTCATCAACTGTTTCTCTTTCTATCTTTGACGTTCCACTGGTCTCCCTCTCTCTCTTTCTCTCTCTCTCTCTCTCTCTCTCTGTTCTATGTGGATCTATTTCTTTATTTGTACTGATTTTATAGTGGGTAAGCTTTGAATCACTGTTTTGTGCTGAAAATGAAGCTCATGGTCCCTTTTCATTGCTCTGAGAAACCCATTGAATTGCTTTGTCCTTTCTCTTAATTTCTGAAAGGCATAGTTCATCTGTTCAATCTATTATAGGTGTGTTGAACCATATTTATGGAGTTGGGTTTCTGTTATTTTTCAGTTGAAGTTTCGTTGCTGCTCTAAAGAGACGAGGGTGGAGTTGACGCGTTCCTAAGGTATACTTAAAGTAATTTTATTTATTTAGTTAGGATTGATGGGGGAGCTTGGTTTGATTCCTTCTGAAACGGTTTTTCTTTTCAGTTATTTTCAATTGACAGGGGAATTTGGTTTGATTCTTTTCTTATTTCTGGGAATCTTGTGTGTTTCTGATTGTTGGAGATTATATGAACTTTGGTTTTTGATATGTTTAGTTCTGTTTGAAATATCGGTTTCTTTAGAGAACTTCTTAAAATATTTTTCTAATTCTTAACTGTCCACTATCTTGTAGTGGTCAGTTTTACCTTAAATTTCCTTAGTTTTTCTTCTAAAACATCAAATAACTGTGCTCACTAAAAATTTATGAATCACAGGCTTTCACCCCATAAATCTTTCTCCTATGGATCTTTTTTGCAACACAAAGTATGTCCGGCTTCGAAGCTTTCATGGCAAGTATCTTGTTGCAGATGATAATGGACAATCAGTGTCCCAAAGCCGAGTAAAATTGTCTAAAAACTCAGAGTGGGGTGTCGAATTTGTTGAAGGGACTCGTGCTCTGCGTTTAAAGAGCTGCTATTCTCTTTACTTAACTGCTTCAGACCTTCCTTTTCTCTTAAAATGGACAGGTAAGAAAGTTTTACAGTCTTCAAAGGTGAAACTGGCATCCTCAGTGGAGTGGGAGCCTATTAGAGATGGGTTTCATGTCAAACTTAAGGGTTTGTATGGGAACTTCCTTCGAGCAAATGGAGGTCCTCCTCCATGGCGAAACTCTGTAACCCATGATATCCCTCTTAGAACAGCAACACAAGATTGGGTTTTATGGGAGGTTGAAATACTTGAAACTGAAATTGAATCCCCTTTGAGAATGCCTTTGCTCACTCTTGGTTCGCCAGATGTTCAGACGGCTACAAGTGCGTCAAGTGAAGCTGACTCAGAGGTTTGTGAGATGGAGAACCTCATATCCTTCGATTCATCTCATCATATAAAGTGTTTTTGCATTTGGTGTGCTAATTAAAGTTTCAAAATTTCATTTCGAAAACATGAGCAGTCTGATCAGATCATTGTTCGTTAAAATCTATGTTCCTGGCTTTATGGTTCCTCGGAAGTTATTTTCCTTGAGGAATGGAGATTTTCTGGAAGTGAATGTGAATTGAGGCTTGTAATTTGATCTGATGCATCTCAGCTCACACATGTCTGCAATTGGATCTGTCAATGAATTCTAGTAGTTTTCAGAAGTTGCAAAGCAACCAGTTTTTCCATTTTGAGACTATCCATGCATTTGAGTGGTTACTAGTTGTTCCAAATTAATTAGAAGTTTTGTTTTAAGATGCATATGCAGTAACTGAAATTTTTTCCATTAGAATCATATTTCACTCCAATAAATCATGGTTATGTTAGAATATGTGTTTTTGGCTTGAGATTAGTTTCAAAGATATGGTCTTCGAATTTCATTTAGTTGCTAGTGAATAGTAGAGTTTTGTTTAATTATTTATTGTGTGGTAGTTTTGTTTTTTTGGGCTGGTATCAGGAAAGTAGTTGATATTATAATTTAATTCAATGCACAGTCTTTTGCTTCTTCCACGAGTTCGAGTTCCACCCCCAAATCAGATGGAAGGATTATCTACTTTGCTGTTGGAGACCATGATGGAGATGTCGAAGATAGTTCGGAATGGTTTACAATTACTTTTAGAGGAAGTGATTTGTACGGGCTAAAGGATAAGTTAAAGGAAGAGACTGGCATTGACAATCCTATTCTTTGTTCAAAAAACTCATTTAATGGGGAGCTTTTTCCATTACATCTGCCACTGCCTCCAGGAAATGCTTCTATGAGAATTGTGTTGATCCAATCATCTCCAAAGTGTAAATTTTCCTATTTTGCTGCTACTGCTGCTCAAAGTTGTAATGAAGGTATCAGGTTATAAACGCATTTACTTTTTCATATGTAGTATCATGTAAGTTTGTTATTTCTGATGTTACCGTGTTACTTGTTCTCAAGTTGTAAAGGTATCAGATTGTAAACCCATTTACATCATGGTACAAGGTCATGTAGGTTTTATTTCGTCAATCTTAATATCCTATTGCTTCTCAAAGTTATAAAGAAGTTATTGGACTGTAAACCCATTTATGTCATGGTATAAGACCACGAAAGTTCTGTTTCTTTGGTCTACATGCCGAGGTTTTATTTCCACTTTGATACTTCAGTCTTCCATTTTCTTATGTGTTTACTTCCTTTTTCTGGTTTTTACTTCTTTAATTTGTCAACACATCACTAGATGATTGGCTGCTTATCTGCTTTCTTCCATTAGAATTATTGGCAATGCTTTAGTAATTTAGCAATAAAACAAAGACCAACTCAACTGTGGTTGCAAACCTTTGGAAATGGAGTCCATATGTCATTTTTCAGTGATGCAAAATCAAACTAACAATAGAGAAGGAATCAAGCAAATTATGAAAACATAATCTGCTTGAAAATAGAAAGAGAAACTTACTAGTTGGACCAGGAAAAATGATATAAAATAACTCCAAATAAACTTCTCATACTCTTCTTTCCTCACCTATTTGTAGTCCTCAAACCTTTATGAAAGAAGAATCCTAATCAAGATTTGGATTTCTAATAACGAATTAACAAATTGGCCCTTGAATAACAAAGAAAGACAAATTCATCCTTAATCCTAAACTGGCATTGCAACTTCCAGATTCCATAACTTTTCTCTTGTGTATTAGAATTACTATGTTATTCCTTTCTGGAAATAGGCCAAAACCAGCTATGTTTGTATTTCCTAGTGAATATCTCTGAAAAACACATCTAAGGGCCTGAACTCAGCCTCTGATGTTTGTTGAATGAGTTTCACCTGCATCATTTTGGGAAAACTGAGACTTTCAACCCTTGTCGTTTGCGTATCATTTCAGTTTACATGTGATTTTTGTATTGATGGTCACTGAAACATCTTTTTGCCTTAATTTTAGTTTTCCTTTTTCCTGTCAAATTGTATCTAGGGGTTTTGATTGGTAATTCAAAACTGAGACTAGAAATTCCAATCATGGCTGAATAGGTTCTAGAGATCCATTTCTTGGGAAAAAGTCCCAATCGCAAAGCCCATACATTACGAGCCAATTGAAGCTACCCAAGTCTTTAATTTACCATCTGTTGTCTCTCATAAAGTTCTTCCTAGCCTTTACAGATGGCTTCATCATTGGATAACTAATTGATATCTGTCAGGGCATCTCCCTCAAATTTGAGAGGATGAATCATGTACTTGAAATAGTAGTTTTATTGTCAAACTTGCGCTCTAGTTTTAGGTATCATGGCACTGGAATTGGTCAACAGCTCCATGGATTATCATGGCATAGAATAATCTTATCCACGTTACATACGAGGACACACACCCATTTTCCAACTTGATGCCTATGTCTAGTCCATCAAGATAAAAAGTGAGACTGGCTGTGGAACGCACATACTTCTTGACCTTGATATGCTTATTATAATTCTCTATCACCGTGATCTGATTTCACGTTCTGAGATTACTAGAATCAATGCTATTCTAACCATATGCATGTCTATAATTGTCTTCATTCAATCTGCACACACTAGCAAAGGCTATGAGAATATGTCATTGCTGAGTCTTTTGAGCTCCAGTTTCAATTGGTGCTCTGTCACCCCTATGATGTTTTTTATGTAATGGACACTCTAATCATGTATCCATATGTTTTTGGATTCAGTATTGTGCGTATACCAGGCCTTGGATTAGGTACCCACTAATTCATAAGCAGTTTGGAGTATGGAAATATTCCATGAGTTGGCCGATTCATGTGCCCACCCTGTTTTTTGAGAGATTTAGTACTGGAAACACATCCAAAATCACTCTAAATCTATTTTTGCCTGATATCCATGAATTTGGAGCTCCATGAATGGTCTAGATCTGATGATCTTTGAAGAATTAAAATGGAAGATCTAGAAAAAGAATTCAGCTCCAAGATCAATTTTTAACGGTCGATCATCCCATCATCATTAGAGCTTTTTACTAACTATTTGGGGTCGGCTCTATGAACCTTGGTCCGCCATTCTGCTCTATTAAGGGTCATACCTGTAGGGAGACCATAAGTCCCCATATCTTTTTTCACTACTTCCAGCGATGACCTTTTTGGCCTAGTATTTGCTCTGTTTGGGCCTTCCATTTGAACTAAGTCGTACCTCGTATCAGGTATTGTACTGGGTCTGCCTCTATATGGCCAGCCCACTTAAGCATGCTTTCTCTCACTACTTCTACCCATATCCTTTTGGGCTTTCCACTTGTCCTTTTTGAGTCTTCCACTAACTTGCACCTCTTAACAGGTGCCATATTGGATCTGCGCTGCATTTGGCCAACACCTAAGTCTACTTTCTATCATCTTATCGCCTATTGGAGCTACACTTAAGTTCTTCCCAATGAATTTATTTCGAATTCTCTTCTAAATGTATTCATTTAGGAGTTCTATCCCTAGATAACGTAGATTCAAGATTCATAAAAAGTTTTGGCAGAGTTTTATGTTTGTTCCCTACCTATCACAACCCACCTCCTTTACCCTGGCTTGGGAAGGGTTAAGGGAAAGTTTAAGGTCCTTACCCTTTCTCGACTAGTTGGTCTATCATCTAAATCACCATTTGTTTTGTTTTTTTGTTTTTTCTTTTTTGTCACATTCATGATCATGGTGGTCTAGATGATAGACCAGCAAAATTTTGGATCCTATTCATCTTCAAGATGGATTTTGTTAGCATGGATTCACTATTACAGGTGTGTCCCCAAAAGCACATAAACCGTACATCCTTTGATTTGTGGTATTAGCGATATTGTTATTTTTCTTGAAATATTTGGTTTCTTATTTTCTTTGTTTCTTCTTAGATATGTCCTATGCCCCTCTTGTTGCTCCAAACTACTTCGTATTGCTTTCGCTAATTGTAACTGGTTTATACAGACGCTAACACACCCATCAAGAGGGTATATGGGAAAGTGCGGGACTATTGTGGAACTCAATGCATTTTGGTCAGAGGCTAACTATTACAAGGAGTCTGACTTTGATAATTGAATTGAACTATTCTGCCATTCTTGAAGGCTATTCTCTGAACATGACTGATGGTTCAAAATAATCTCACCAGACTAATGGAAAATGGTTGCGTTCATCCCTTTAACTCTTATGTTGTAGATTTTATTCATATTCTTGAAGTTTTATAAACTTGGGGGCAGATAGGATTGCTACTTTCGGTCCAAATAGGGTTTACATGGGGACTTGAACAAAAACAAGAGTTACATTGTATACTTGGATGTCATGCCTCTATAGGGTTGGCTAGACTTTTTTGGTAATTTCTCTTCCAATTTTAGTGTTTATGATTATAGATACTAATGGAAAATTATCTTCTGATAAGTTCAGCTAGTGGAGTTTCTGTTGTATAGCACTCAAGATTGCTGGTCAATGCACATGCTTTTGTTTGAGTGTGGATAGCCTTGTTTGCACTCTCTCAGTGTTTTGGACCCTAATGCTCCAACTAAAAGGGAGGAATTCTGGATAGAATCGGATCAAGTTTTTTGCCAGTGGGAGACCCCAAATTTATATCTGAGGTTGAGTGCATTTCTCTTACAATAAGAGACAAAAGAGGAACTTGTCACTATAAAAATTTTCTCAGAGAAAGTTGAAATTTTCTAAAAAATTTGAAGTTATATATCTTATTTTCTACCCAGTTCTTTCTTCTTAAAAGGACATGGATGACAGTAGTAAGAAGAGATGTGGTGACTTATGGTCTAATTGATTGTATGACCCTTGATAGAGCAGAATGGTGCAATAGGACTCGTGTAGCCGACACAAATAGTTGGATAAGGTTTAGATGATGATGATGATGACCCTGTTCTTTCTTCCCATCATAATCTATACTATTAGCAAGTCAAACGTTGCTCATCAACTTATTGAAACTAAAGCCATCCTGCTAGTTGATTAGAAGTATTTTGTCATGACGTGGTCCTATATCTCTCGTTAGACAGATGCTGAACAGGTTTAGTTTTTCACTGGATGCTGCTAGTAGGTTTATATCTTACATGATTCTTCTACTATTCCACACCGCTTGAGTGCTTTACTTTGATGCCGATTGGTTTGTTAGTCTAGATGCAATTGACTAGTGAGGCTTTATTTCTGGCTCTTTACTTATCTATTTAAAAGAGTAAAAATCAGTGCAACATTCATTGTTGAGGTTGTATATTATGTCATCTTGTTTGCCTGAGCTTGCTTTGTTCTAGTATTTCTGCTGCATCTCTTTGCAGGTCTCAATGCTTCCAAAACCATTCTTGCATAGAGCTTTTCTAATACTGCAAATTCTACAAAGATAACACATAACACTGGAGGTGTTTTACATTTTGTATGTAATGTATTCGTTGATAATTCAAACTGTCTCCCTTACATGCAATCAAATATCAACTCGAGGAAATCTCCGCGAAGTCCATAATTTGAGGCCATTGTGTCTATTATTATTTTTTTACAAATTGCCACTCCTTGGTTTATATCCACTAGTTTAAGGGATTTGTTAATCACTGTATTTGGGTACTTTATTTAACACGTGGTCAAAGTTTTATCACTGAATTTATGTGTTCTCTTATACGATATAATCTAGTCTTGATCCCATTTCTCCTGGATATTGTGGTCACTATATATACAGTGGTATGTAAGGGTTGTTTTCTTTGCATTCAATTCTTGTTATCCCATTCTTATCTTTTACTGATATGCATGTGTTTAGAACTACATGTCTATCTTCTCATTGTGTGGAAGTTGGTTTCAGTTTGAGTTAGGGGTGAAATCCTGCAAAGGGAGGAAGATTATTTTCCTCGTCCAAGTTCCCAAATAAGATCTTGTGAAGTGATGTCCCTCGTTTGAAGTGTATGGGTTTGAGAGCTAGATGCTCGTTGATGTAGGCAGTTCTTCAAGCAATGACAATGCATAACTTTGTGCTTGTCGCCCTTTCGAAAGCCTACAATGTCCCAATCCGCTTCACTAGTTGTGGAAACTAATTTTGTTGAAAAAGGCTTCTAGAGGTCTAAAAATGGCCTTCCAATAAGCTTGTAATGGACTTTCCAAATTGTTAGGGTTTTGACTATGATGAAAGGGTGATGATAGCTTTTGAGATCTTATTGTAAGTTTTCTTAGTTTATCCGAAGTTATGGTCATCTCAATAGGCCGCGGGTGGCCTGGGCCGCTCCGTCCCTAAAAAACTAGGGCTTGGACTGCAAAAAGTGGCCCGAGGGCTGAGCTAGGGCCTGGACTAAGGCTTTTTGGCTCTGTCGCAGTTGGCTTGGCCTTGGCAGCCCTTTAGGGACATGGAACGGCCCCGCAGGCCCGGTCCATTGCCAGCCTAGGGCTATGGTGCTTGGCTTGTAAGCCCGTTTTACTAGCTCGATCCATTAGCAAGTTTGTCTTATTTTTTCCTTGATCCTCTCCTCCGTCAAAACTCATAAAGCTCCTAGACGTTGCAGCTGTGTCCGATGGTTGCTGAAGGAGCTCGTGGAGGCTATGGCCATGGTTTAGTGATGCATTTTGTTTGAAAAATATGCCGACGGTTTGGTTGTTTATGGGTCTGATCCAGTGTTTGTAAAATCGAATTGGAAATTTAACGCATGGGCCTGGAAATGGTTTAACCGGCCTAATCGGTAAACCGGCCAACTAAACCGATCTAACCTGGCAAGCTCGGGAGGTGAAAAAAGTAATAAAAAAAATAAAAAATATACAAAAAAAATCTATTAAAATATGAAAAATATATAAAGAATGATTAAAACAAAACACATTCAAATGAAGATGAAAATTAATTAAAAAAAAAATAGATTTTAAGGAATCAATGTTTTAGGGGTATTTTTTATGATCAAAACAATTTTTAATCTTTATCATAATGTAAAGAATATTAAAAAATATATTACAAATCAAATTATTTATTTTTTAAAATTTATATACTTGCCAATCACCAAAACCGTTCAAAATCGGAACCAGCCAAGCGATTAGATGGCGCGGTTTTTCGAGGAGTGGTCTCGTCTCACCTATTACAACCGCGCGGTTTTTCCAGTGGTCTCATCTCACCTATTACATGCACGAAAAAATACTACTAGAGTGAAAAGAAAATGTTTATTCCAGCGTCGTGCACACTTTCTACTATTTTCTCTCTCTACAATGATTGTGGCCGGCTCTCCCTTTTTCTTGTTTTTCTTTTTCCTCTCAATAGGGGCCTTAACCCTTCCCCTCTCTCTCTCTCTCTCTCACCTTCTTGTATGACCTCAATCACCCTCTTTTCTTGTCCATCTCTCGTCTATTTTCTTCATATAAATGCTCCCATCTCACCTATATACAAATTGATAAGGTTTTTTCGGCGGATTCATCTATTCAAATGAGTCCTCTCTTCATAATATTTTCTGGAGAGATTTCAGATTCAGAATTTGAGGAATCTCAACAATGATAAGTAGTAACTTGAAAAAAGATTAAAAATTAAAAATAGAAAAATACAATTTTTGATATAATTTTGATCACAATTGATTTCAAAACTTTTTGGCTCTAATCCATCTCTATGATGGATATTACATGCGTCCCGGAATACTATTGTAGAAGTGCGTCCCCAGACGCATGAATTTCTTTTCCACCCCTTACGCATGAACTACTTTTCTATATGTAAAACTTCAACTTGTCCTAACATGTGAAATTTTTTGCATATGAAAAGTATTTACCATAAATTGACCCTCGTCATATGACAGTAACTCCCTACCTCATGAGGTGGGCAGATAATTATATGGTTATTTTTCCTATCAGACCCGAATTAAACTATCTCAAAACTTAAACTTAAGTTTTAGAGACAAAAACTACATCAAAAATTTCAGAGAGAGAAAATATCCCAATCTTTAAAATTTAAAGAAATAAACTCATTAAAAATTTTAGAGAGAGAAATTATACCAAATTTAGAAAAACTATATCAAAATTTTTAGATAGAGAAAACTATCTTAAAATTTTTAGAGAGAGAAACTATCTCAAAGTTGTTAGAGAGAGTTATCTCAATTTCAAATTTTAAGAAAGAAATTATCTCAAATTTTAATTTTTAGAGAGAGCTCAAAACTTTTGGAAAGAAAAACTATATCAAATTTCAAGTTTTAGATAGAAAAAATATCCTCAAATTTTTAGAGAAAGAACTATCTTAAAATTTGTAGAGAGAGGAACTATCTCAAAGTTTTATGAGGGATACGTTATCTCAAATTTTAAATCTTTAGAAAGAAACCATCTCAAAATTTTTAGATAGAGAAACTATATCAAACTTTAAGTTTTCAAGAGAGAAACTATCTTAAAATTTTTAGCGTCAAAGTTCTTAGAGAGAGAAGCTATACCAAATTTCAAATTTTGAGAGAGAAACTGTTTTAAAATTTTTAATGACACATACCATCTCAAAGTTTAAGTTTTAGAGAGAGAAACTATCTTAAAAATATTAAGGGGAGAAACTACATCAAATTTCAAGTTTTAGAGAGAAACTTTCACAAAAATTTGAGAGAGAGAAACTACGTTAATTTTTGTAGAGAGAGAAGCTATCTCAATTTGTAAACTTTTAGAGGTAGAAATAATCACAATATTTTTAAAGAGAAACTATCTCAAATTTAAGTTTTATAGAGAGACAGAATCTAAATATTTTTAGAGAGAGATACTATCTCAAAGTTTTTTGGGAGAAGCTATAAATTTTAAATTTGTAGAGAGAGAAACTATCTTAATTTTTTTAGAGAGAGAAATTATCTCAAATTTTAAGTTTTAGAGAGAGAAAATCTCTAAAACTTTAGGGAGAAAAACATCGAATTTCATGTTTAGAGAGAGAAAATATCTTAATTTTTTTAAAGAAAAAGAAACTACCCCAAAGTTTTTAGAGAGAGAAGCTATCTCAAATTTTAAATTTTTATAGAGAGAGACTATCTTAAATTTTATATTTTAAAGATAAACTATTTCAAAAAATTTAGAAGGATAAACTAATCAAATTTTCGGTTTTAAAGATAGAAACTATCTCAAAATTTTTGGAGAGAAACTATCTTAAAATGTTTAGAAGGAGAGGCTATATCAAATTCTTAGATAGAAGCTATCTCAATTTTCATATTTTTAGATGGGGAAACCATCTCAAAATTTTAAAGATATACTATATCAAATTTTAAGTTTAGAGATAAAAACTTTCTTAAAATTTTTAAAGAGAGAAACTATGTCAAATTTTAAGTTTTGAAGTGACAAACAATCTCAAAATTCCTGTAGAGATAAACTATATCAAATTTTAGTTTATACATGGATGAATTTTTGTCCTAAATATGTGCGGCTTAATTTAAGCCTATTTGGTGGTTCCTAAGAGTGTTAAAACCAGACCAGTTGGTCCGTTTGTAAGTTTAGTGAGATAAGGGTTGACCTGGATGATATTAGTGAGAGAAAGTAGAATTGAGCTCTATTAACGGTCAATTCATCAAGCTGCATAAAAGTAGATATTAATCATGAGGCCTCAAGAAGTTCAAATTGTTTGAAATTATCTCCTTCAACATTGAAGCAATTCATGGTTGTAAAACATCACTTACAACAAGGTATTTCTATATCCTAGTTTCCCATTTTAAGAGGTTTTGGTCTTAAAATTACATATAGAGTTTAAGGCTGCGACCTATGGTTAATTATGCCGATTTAGGAGGATTTTTCTATGATGTTTATAAGATTTAATTGACTAAAGTTTTCTGAGATTTTGGGATCAAAATCAATCAATCAATGTTAAAAAATGATAGAGCATTTTGGGAAATTTTTAAGGGGAGACTATGTCGAATTTTCTCCATGACACACCATCTTAATTTGAGCCTGATCTAGTAATTTTAAGCCTCCATTGTACAATTTTCCACTTGATTACATCACAATTTGAAAGGCCCTTTCACCTAAAAAGTATAGATCAAAGAAGATATTGCATCTCATTATGTTGATGGAGTGAATTTAGCCTTAATTGTAAGATATGTCATCCTATGTTGAGTAGCTAAGACCTTCACTGTGAACCAGGTGTCAAGAGCTCTCAAGGCTTCCCATGATCATGTCACTTTGATTACTTGAGCATTTACATGTTTATAATATAGAGTTCATATCTTGACGAGTCTTATGTTGAGATTGATGTGTAATTTTTTAATGTAATTTTGTGTAGTGTTAAATTTTGAGGAGCACCAGTTTAAGTGTTGTTTACTTGATTTTCTTGTATAGTTTTGCATTGTTGTTGACAAGGG